TTGCTATGCTTCCTGAAGTGATTAGATTCCTTTAGAAATTGAATGAAGCAGAAGAGACAGAGGTGCAGGAACAGCCTTTGTTCAAGTTTCAGCAAGCCTGCCTAAAATAATGCTTAGTCTCTCCAAGAATGTGCTCTGACAGGTACATCAGGTTAGGATGACTCCCCCCCAGTCGGGTTAGGATGACCCCCAAAAAAAGCATAACAACCCTCTTCATGGAAAATTAGCTCACTTGAAAAATAGAAGGCATCTTGATTTGCCTTGTACACCTTACACAGAAGACAGAGATTACCTGAGACAAAAGCCATGTTCCCCCGGGCAGTTAGCAGACACTGGACTGGCAGCTGTTACTTGCCCAGAGCCTTCCAGCTCCTTTAAGCTAAATAAAAACAGGCTTGGCACAGGTGGCTCATGCCTATAATCCTAGCTCTTCAGGAGGCTGAGAGCTGAGGATCGTGGTTCAAAGCCAGCCCAGGCAGGAAAGTCTGTGATACTCTTATCTCCAATAAACCACTAGAAAACCGGAAGTGGCACTGTGGCTCAAGCAGTAGAGCGCTTGCCTTGAGCTGAAGAGTGCAGGGACAGCGCCCAGGCCCAGAGTTCAAGCCCCACGACTGACCAAAAACAACAACAACAACAACAACAGGTAATAGTTAATTTGTAGAAATTCTCTCTCTGTCTCTCTCTGTCTCTCTCTCTGTCTCTCTGTCTCTCTCTGTCTCTCTGTCTCTGTCTCTGTCTGTCTCTGTCTGTCTCTCTGTCTCTGTCTCTCTGTCTCTGTCTCTGTCTCTCTCTCTCTCTCTCTCTCTCACACACACACACACACACACATACACACACACACACACACACACACACACACACACACACACACACACCACTGGGCAAGCCATTCCTGGTACCATTGCTAGAGAAGAGAGACACTCTTTATTAGGGACTGTGAAGCAAGAGTGCCAAGCACACTCCGTCCTGCCTCCCCAGGCCCTTGCCCTGGAAGAGAGTCAAGCTGAAGCTTGCAGCTATGAGTGTGGCTTCCTAGAAAACTCTTGTCCTCCAAGGCTGAACCCACCAAAGCCAAACCCAATTTCTCTCTCAAGCAAGATCTCCAGAGAAGGACCACTGATGAGTAAGAACCACATTCAGAAATTCTGAAGCCCCTCAAGACTTCCTTCCCACATTATTCCCCTTTTGTTGGTTGGGAAAAAACGCATGTATCTGGAATTGAACACTCGTGAATCCAAATCTTGACTCTGCTAGCCTTTTCCTTGTGACCTTGAGCTTGGTTTTTGATCTCTTGGAATAACTTCTCAACTTCTAAACTGGGATAGTTGTATTGACTTCCAGGATTGTGATAAGTATTAAATAGAAATGTTTATATGAAAGAAAGAAGGAAGGAAGGAAGGAAGGAAAGAAAGAAAGAAAAGAATTCCTTCAAGTCAGGCCATCAGAGGCTCATGCCTGTAATCCTAGCTAAAGAGGCTGAGATCTGAGTATCATGGTTCAAAGCTAGCCTGGGCAAAAAAGTTCTTGATATTCCTATGTCCAATAAATTGCCCAGAAAGCTGGAAGTAGAGCTGTGGCTTAATTGGTAGAACACTGACCATGAACAAAAGAATCTCAGGGACAAAGCCCAGGCCAAAAAAACAAAAATAAAACAAAACAAAAAGCCTTCAAAGTGCCAGCAGGTAGCAGATGCTCAGTGAGTATTAGATTTCCTACCCATATTGAAAACCCTGAGGCTATGAGCGGAGCCCTAGGGTTTGCTTTTCCAACACCTTTGCTGTGACTCCAATGAAGAACCCAAGTAGGGCGTTCTGAGGCCCCCCTGCTGTCTCTGAGAAGGCCATGTGAGAAGTTCTTCTTAGTCTAAAACAGTGATGTGCTTAGAACCTACAAGAAAGTCTGGAATGCTTTCCCAGGAGAATCTTTCAAAAGACCCAACTTCCATGTATCCGAGATGAAAAGAAGAAACCATTTCATAAGTTTCATTTCTAATTGCTCAGGAAGAAGCTGTCTCTGTGAAGAATCCACTGTGGATCAGATCAAAAGTGCTATATTCAGTAAGGAATTCAGAGCGCTTAGAATAAGGACACTATATTCTCTGCCCCCACCCTCATCCCCTATTTTCAACTTCCTTTCTATAATGATCTATGGAAGAGACTAGTGAAAAACAGCCCACGGAAGATCAGAGAATATTCCACCCATTTGAAAGCATCCTGGTCCTGGAGCGAGGAAGGCAATGGCTGCCTTCAGATTATTTAACTCCTGCCTAACAAAACTGAATTGCAAATTGGTAAGGCTGGGCTTGTCAGGAGTCTTGGAATTGCCTTGGAATTGTGAGAAGAAAAAGATAATTCAGAGTTTCAGTGCATAGTAAGTTTCAGGTAGCAAAAAGGGTTAGAATGTTCTAGTACTTTTATTTTTAGTACATTGTGGCTTAATAGCCACTTATGTATTTCTTTCTGGATCAATATGTGTATACTCTTTCCTAAAACAGCAAAACGATGTTGTAAAGTAACTTTTCTGTAGATGAACCTTCATCTTGTCTGGGACCACTAATGCACGTTTAGTGTCTGCCAGAAGGTGAAACAGAGGAGCCCTCTGGAGGAGTCAGACACTTCCTAGGACTTGTCACAAACGCTTCCTCCCTTTAAAGTAAAGGGAGTGTCATAGATCGGGTAGGTTTAGTGTTCCCTGAGACTGGCTGAACCCCCCAGAGGCTGCCCTAGCTCTTCAGTCATTTGTCTGGCCAAGTCTGCAGCAAGATTTGTAGATGACCAACTACTAACCAGCAGCAGGGTAAATGAGAGATCTGCTTCCTTCCTCCACTGACCTGCAAAGCCAGGCTGAATTCAACCCAAGTCCCGGTTCACTCTTTGATAACCTGTCTATAACCTGTCTTCTCTAGTCATTGCTGTGATTCCCACTAGGGGGTGCCAGTGTGCCCATGAGCAGGTGCCAGTGCTGGGCTGTGGCTCTGGATACTGTAACCCATCCATCTCTCAGTAAGGTTATGGCTCTGACGCGCTCTCTCAGATGCTGGACAAGGTACTGTGCTGTATGATGTCAAAGAGGAGAGTGATGGGTCCCACAAAGAGGGAGGTGCCTAGTTGTTCTGTGTACCTAAACTACCTCAACCTAAGCAGAGTTGCGGCTAGAGCAGGAGTGCTGTGGCTTAAAGTTGCTCTTCCAAAAGATTCTCCACATCTGGTACTTACATCCTAATCACTGGGACCTGCGGGTAGTTCCTTATTTGGAAAGTTGGGGGCATGGTTAATGTAATTAATGACCTTGAGACAGGGAAAACACTCTGGATGGACTAGGTGAGCCTTAAATGAAATCACATACAACCCCATAAAAGATTATCCATGCATGTGGAGGAAAAGGTCCTATGAAGACAGAGCAGAAAAGTAACCGAGGCCTTAGAGATGGCCAAAAGGCAAATACAGTGCCAACAGTCAGGGGAAACCAGATGAGGCAAAGTCACATCCTTCCTAAGGGTCTCCCTGAGGGAGCACCGGCCTGCCGATGCCTTGAATTGGGCCCAGCAGCACTGACTGTGGACATCTGGCACCTAGCACTGTGAGAGTATACAGTTCTGTTATTTCAGTACTGAGCTCCTAGGCCATGAGATGTGCAGGTGTGCATGCTAGCACACCCACTGGAGGCCAGGCTGGCACAAGCAGCCATCCCAGGATGGACTGAGGCACAACTCACCTGGGGATGCAGCGTGTATCTCCCTCTAGCACAGACCAAGGTCATCCAGAAGTCCCCCAGGCCCCAGTGGGTAACCTCTTTTCCCCTTGCCCTAAGCCTCCGGAGATACTCTCAGAGCAATCAATGTTCACACACTGAGATTCCCTTTGCAAGGAAGCGGTTACAGCAATATTTAAAATTGGGGAAACAATCAAAGAACTTAAAAGAATCTTGGATGATCTTTAGCATTTATTTGTTCTATTACCCATTGGATCGATGAGCCAATGTGGGCCCAGAGGAGGTAACTCGTCATGAGCCAACCTCAATTAGAGCAGCTATGATGTGTTTTCTAAGACTAATCATAGTGAGAGCCAAAGGTACTAAGAGAAAAGAAAGGAGGGAAGTAAGGAGGGAGGGAGAGAAGGAAGGAAGAAAAGAAGGAAGGAAGGAGGGAAGGAAGGAAGGAGGGAGAGAAGGAAGGGAGTGAAGGATGGAGGGGGGAGGGAGGAAAGGTAGGAAGAGAAGGTGGGAGGGAGGGAGGGAAGGAGGGAGGAAGGAGGGAAGGAAGGAAGGGAATGAAGGATGGAGGGAGGAAGGAGGGAAAGAGGGAAGGAGGGAGGAAGGAGGGAAAGAGGAGGGAAGGAGGGAAAGAGTGAGGAAGGGAGAGACAAATCACTGCTAATAATAAATTTGGTAAATACTCATGTTCTATCATGTTCTATCATCTTTTTGCTGACATTCTGAAACTGTCAAGTGTTTTTGTTATTTAATCTTTGATTTGTTGATGAGCTTATTGCTCTGAGATGATATATTTTTGCTTCTCACCGTTTTGGGGTTTGAACTCAAAGCCTCAAACTTACTAGAAAGGCACTTTACCATTTGAGCTACACTCCAGCCCTTTATTTGCTCTAGGTTTTAGGGTCTTATGTTTTTGTCTGGATTGGACTGGGCCATAATCTTTCTACCTACAACTTCTCACATAGCTGGGATCACAGTGTGAACTACCACGTGCCACTTGGTGATGAGATAGACAGGGACCCATTCGCTTTTTGGTGGGACCAGCTGGCCTCAAATTGAAATCCTTCTGATCCTTACCTTCCAAGGAGCAGGAATACAGGTGTGAGCCATTGTAGCTAGGCACGCATTTCTTTAAGCAAGAATAACTTCTCTAGACTAACTATCACCCTCCACGGTACAGGTCTCTGCTCATAGCAAGAGTTCAGTGGACATTTACTTGGTCTTTAGTTCTATTGAGTGCCTACAGGCTACTTTGTAGACCCTGATGGACTTCAGTTTTCTTATAGGTGAAACCACAAAAGCCTACGAGACAACCCGAGAGCCAGTCGCCCTGATGCAGGCCCTGACCATCTCAGCAGCCGAGCCTACCCACACCAGCTTGCCAAAGCCATCCCCATTTATAATCTCTGCTACCAGCAGCCCCAGACCACAGCCTGCGGGCTACAGAAGTCAGGAGACAGGTGAGTAGGTAGATCATGCTTGTTATTGGCTACGAGTGGTGTGTGAAGTCTTTACAGTCTGAGCTTTGTCTGAATATCAGTATGTTGTGTTCAGTCTACTCCTTCTGAGCCCGAGTCGGAAGCATCTAAGACCTGCACCAGGTTATGTCACCTCATTTGACAGTAAACCTTAGTAAAACTTAGGAAAGAGTATGACTCACAGTTTCAGGGGCTTCCGGCCATTGTCTCTTCGCTCCATTGTTTCTGTAAAGAGGCAGAGCATCATGATGCTTAGCAGAAGAAAGCTGCTCACTTCATGGCAGCAGGAAGGGGAGAGGGGAGAGAAGGGAGGGAAGGAAGAGGCAAAGAAGTAGGACAGTGAGAGAAAGCAGGAGGAAAGGAGAGAAACGGGGGAGAAAGAAGGGAAAGATAAGAAGAGAGGAAGAAGCCATGAGCAAGATATACCTTTCCAGGTACAAATCTAGTAGCCCATTTCCTTCAACCAAGTCTCACCTCCAAAAGATTCTACTATCAGCTGGCAGTCAAGACTTTAGCACGGAGTTGGGGGGGGGGTGGATATTTCACGTCCAGATTGTATTCTCCAAGATTCAAAATAGATGCTACTGTCAGATAAAGGTGATATTATGCAGAACTTTCTCATTGTAAAAAAAAAAAAATCCCCATTTTTCTGTGCTCAGCTGGAGGAATAGTAGGTTTCTATGTGATCCTGGTTGGGTTTTGACTATTTGTTGTTTAAGTGACAAATGATATATAGCTAGAATTCTTCAAATATTAGACACAAAACCAAATAAACCCTTTAGAAAAAGCCAAACAGTTAAAGGTTTGTTCCTTTCCTGATTGCTTTTTGTCTGATCACTTTTAGCCTCTTCTTAAATTATGCTCTAGGTTTCCTCAAAGTCCAGTTTATGGTATTACTCTTGGTATAACACCAAATAGGGCCTTAAGAGCCCATCCACTAATTCAATCTTGAGCTTCTGCCCACTTCTAGCCATGTCATTCTGGGTAGCTAATAAGCACCTGTCTCATTTCAGATTTTCTGGTGGAGGTGGCAGGTATGGGAAATTTTGTAGCTGGACCAGTATTGTTCTGGAAATATTTCCTGAATATCTCATCTCTGATATCATTTTTCCTTTTTGGAAGAAGTTCCCAGGCCTTTTCTTTCAGACTTGCCCTCTGTCCTCTGATCTTAATGGTCAAGCAGCACGACCCTTTCCTCGCAGAGCCCAGCTAGCTACCTAGCCAAGATGCTGAGCACTGAGGAACATGGTTCCAAACCAACCTACGCAGACAAATCAAAGAGACTTTTATCTCCAATCAACCAGCAAAACTCTGCAGCTGTTGCTCAAGTGACAGAGAGCCCAGGGAGAGCACAGGGACCTGAATTCAAGCCCTGGTACCAGCATGCAAAGAAAGGGAGTAGGAAAGAAAGAGAGACAGGGGCAAGAGGGAGAGAGGGACAGAGGGACCGTGGGGTGGAGGGAGGGGAAAGAAGAAAGGAAGGAAAGAAAGAAGGACAGAAGGAAGGAAGGAAGGGAGAGAGGGAGAAAAAAGGAAGGAAGGAAGTAGGGAGGGAGGGAAGGAAGGAAGGAAGGAAGGGAGGAAGGAAGGAAGGAAGGAAGGAAGGAAGGAAGGAAGGAAGGAAGGAAGGAAGGAAGGAAGAAAGGAGATATCCTTACATTCCGTGGGCCAGGTATAAGGTATGCATTATTTTAACCTTCTCAACAACTTTATAAAATAGAGGCTATTATTATTCCACTTTTAGAAAACTCATGGATGAAGTTGTGATAAATATTTCCCAAATCCCCAAAAATAATCTTTGAGAGATTTTTTTTTTTTGGTAGAGATTCCCTTTAAGACATCACCCTTGGTAGGCAAGCACTTTACCACCTGAGCCATGTTTCTACCCTTTGGCTTTTCATTTGTCTTTTGGATAGAATTTTCCACTTTTGCCTTTTTGAACCTCAACCCTCCTAACCTCTGCCTTCTAAGAAGCTAGGTGTGTACCACTGGGTCCATCACACACTCCCTCTCCCCCATCCTCCTACTTGTGTTTAACTCAGGCTACTATTACCTGAGGCACACGCTCCCTGATGGCAAACGAGAAATGGTCCAGGATTCTGGGTAGCCACAGCTCACAGAGGTCCTCAAGCCAGAAGTTTTCCTTTATTGAATTTCAACCTCTTACCTTGACAGTCCTTAAGTCTTCAAACTATCCTTGAATCTCTGAGCCCCTTGTTTCCCCCCACTGCCCCATTGTCTCCCAGAAGACCTCCATCCTTACATAACAAAGATAATTAAATATGTGGCATATTTATTTGGCCTCACTGGGAACTGGGAAATCCTGTTGCCAGTTGGACTGTGCTTGTGGAAAACCTGAAGAAACCTAAAGCAGTGGCTCCCAACCTGGCAGACCATCATTTTTCCTGGCTCGAGGACAGGGGATTTGGCCGCCAGCCTCTCGGCCCATCAGGGCTCCTTCTTCATCCTGGTCCAGCACCCGCTTCCATGTGACCCATACACTGCTGAACAGATCCCCAGAGAGACAGGACTCTGTGCAGCCGGCACCATAACTGGGAAGACAGGAGCCAAACTGGGAAGGTGGGGAGAGCGGACTTTAAAAACAAATAATTACATTGCACACCAAAAGGATGTTCCTTATGCAAGAAAAAAAGAAAAGTCAAAATAGATGTTTAAATGACTGTGTCTTTCCCCATCATACAACTCACTCACTTAAAGAATAAATTCAGCTGGGTGCCGGTGGCTCACTGCTAAAATCCTAGCTATTCAGAAAGGCTGAGATATATAAGGATTGCAGTTCAAAGCCAGCCTGGTCAGGAAGGTCCATGAGACTCTTTTCTCCAATTAACCTGAAAAAAGCCAGAAATTGAGTTGTGGCTCAAATGGTTTCTCGAGTGAAAAAGCTAACAGCACCCAGGCCCTAAATACAAGACCTAGTAATAATGCATGCACATGTACCCGCGTACACACACATACACACACACACACACACACACACACACATACATCAAAGCAGACAGTGCTGTAGACCCTTGGACTATATCAGTGAACACATCTCACTAGGATTCCTGAAGTGGCTCACTTCAGCTTAGGACACCTGACAACTGCATGGCTGGGACAGGAACTACCAGTGTTTGAGGTCTATGACTCCTCTTTGCCCTACACTAAGATCAAAAGTTGCCTCTCAGACAGGACATGAAAGCATGGAGGAAGGTCAACGGAGAGTAAAACTTGGAGGCAGACAGAAACAACGTTCTCCCAGCCTATGAAGAAAGTGTAGAGAAATAGTAGGACTCTGAGAAGGTAAGGCTGGACACAAGGCCCTTCACTGGGCCATGAATATGCAAGACAAAAGGAGCAAGTCAAGGCTCGGGGGAAGAGAGCCAAGAGCCAGGGCAACAGCAACTACTGCTCACAGGACAGGAACAGGGGGAGGCTGTTTATGACATTGGTATTTCCAGGAGACCAGAAACCTCAGCACTTCTTCCTAGGGAGAGAGGGAGCCACCCAGAGAGCCAGATATCCATAGATATGATTAAGAAAGTCCTAGACAAGATGGAAAATCCCTTCAGGCCCTGCCAAAGAGTCAGCTGGAGGTATCTGGGGCTTAGAAGGTTGAGTGGCACACCCAACATTGTTTTCCCCATTCCAAGAAGCACCTTTCCCTAATCTGATCTAACGTTAAAAGTGTCTATAATCATAGACCAGGGGAGAGAAGTTCGCCCCCTAGTGGCAAGGAGTGGTAGTGAATGACTGTTCATCTCACCCGCTGGTAGGGCAAGGCAAGGAGAGCAAACAATGGCAGGTGAAGGAAACCTCCTCTTGCCAGTTCCCTTCTCAAGGACTTTTCTCTCCTATATAAACCTTTTTCTTCCTTAGAAAGTCAGAGAAGATCTTCCTTAAAACATAGTCTTATAAGAGTAAGAGAAGTATTTCAAGCATGGACACTGATGTTGTTCATAATTTTTTTAAAAAGCAGTGGAGACATTAATTAGTTGCCCAACATTAGAAGAACAATGGAAGCTTTCCATGTAGGTGCTGAAATGCTGATGCATGGGGCCCACCGGGGTGCTACAAAGTAGCATGGCCCCATCCCATCCTTATAGAAGAGTGCTGTGTATGAGAACATGGGTGTGGAAAAAGCAATACAACTCATTGTGACAAAATTAGATCCCAGTCACTGCAAGACAGAGGCTAAACGATAATTGGTTACTATGCACAGGACATAATTTTTTTATAGTGAGCCTTATCACCATTAGGACTTAACAGAAAATACTTGGAATTCATATCAAATAATTGGAACAAGCACAAAAGGAACCCAAAGTTGGCTCTGCATAGATCCAGTTCTAATAGACATCAATATTTTCCTGTGGCCTCTTCTTGCTTCCTTTCCCTTCTATTTATGGAGCTTGCTTTCCCTAGGCTCACTCCTTTTTCTTTCTTTCTTTCTTTTTTGGGGGGTCAGTTGTGGGGCTTGAACTCTGGGCCTGGGCACTGACCCTGAGCTCTTCAGCTCAAGGCTAATGTTCTACCACTTGAGCCACAGCGCCACTTCCAGTTTTCTGGTGGTTAATTGGAGATGAGTCTCACAGACTTTCCTGCCCAGGCTGGCTTTGAACCGTGATTCTCACATCTCAGCCTCCTGAGTAGCTAAGATGACATATGTGAGCCACCAGCGCCTGGCCCTAAGCTCACTCTTGAGGCCTTAACTGTAACTGGGCTTTGCAGTTCTCTTAATCAACTCTTCCATTTCTTCACTCTTGTCCTCTTTCTTTGCCAGTACTGGAGCTTGAACGCAGGGCCTCTTGCTCTTGCTTAGCTTTTTTACTCAAGGCTAGAGGCTCTACCACTTGAGCCCCATTCCACTTTTGCCCTTTTGGCTGGTTAATCAGAGATCAGAGTCTCATGGGCTTTTCTTCCCCAGGCTGGCTTTGAACCATAGTCCTCAGATCTCAGCCTTCTAAGTAGCTAGGATTACAGGT